GAATATATCCCACAATATTCTCGTCTTACGAAAAAGCGTAGTTTTCATTACCAAAACTACTCGTAGATGCATCTAAAAATTATTGGGATATGGTTTTTGATAATAAATCACAACACATGACCTAGTTTGTTAAAGGATCTATGTTGTGTACGAAAAAACTTTGTTTGAACGCATAGTGAACATAAGTCACAAGACGTTGTCATAGCGTATACTCTGTCTCACTATCAAGATGTTGCGTTTGGATAAGGAAATAGATGAAGCAACCTTCAAGAAGTTTCTGCTTTTTAAAACCACTTCTAGTGATTACGGAAAATTTGCACCAAACGTCCACACGATGGCAAATGTTTACTTTCCATTGAAAGGCGAATTTTCCCAGGTTCGTTTACATTTTACATCCTTATTTTCCTAGCATTTAGGAAAATGTGGTATGTATCGCAATCATTCGCTCAACACATCGATGCAAAAGTAAAGCTTCATTGATCATATTGCTGATTCTGTTAATTTCTTGACAACATAGGTTGTCATCTGATTATTTTTATTTTCATGCATGAACTCATAAGTAGTCTTCTAAGTATTCTTAAGAAATATATCCTCTTCTCGAATGGTTTGTTATTCCCTTTTTTAAAAGTGGGTGAATTCTTAATGGAAACTGTATTTTATACTCAGACTATTTAACCGATCACGTTACTTCTCCGACCCTAAGATTACCTTAGAGATGTTAGGGTGTCTACGACAGTGTCGTCGATCGTCAAGTAAATGACAACACTAGGATCATATATGCGACTTTCGGAGACACAGCATACACCAATGGTACGAGATTATACCGTTTTACCAAAGAGGCCTATTCGACACGAGGTGCGTATGTTGAAGGCTCGCATGTGTAGTTTGGAGCGAGGCTTCAGCAGACCTGGGACAGCATTTTGCGCATTACAATCGTCGGCTATGGTAACATTTGAGGACGAAGACAAAGGAAGAAATTTAGAGTTGAAGTCGAGGTTTGAGTAATAACAGGAATTGAAGAGGGAAATCGATTATGAATACAGTGGTCTTGAGTGTTGTTAGAGGTATGAGAGCGATTATCACTTCCCGGTTGCCCACACTGCGGAAGGATTCTTCTAGAAATACATGAAAATGAAATTGGACTAAAGGTGGTCTTAAAGACCTGAGAGCGTTACCGCAGTGCCCAAGGGAAAACTGCTTCACGTCATTCACACACCACCTTTTCGTGGGTATTTCTATGTTAACTCCGTAATTGCTGAGACCTTACCACCGGAGACGGATATTCGTGGGATAAGGCAAGATGTTCATTTTTAGGGTCAACCATTTCTAACCCTACCCCTCCTTGCGGGAAGGCGGAATCGTTGCTATGTTGGTTGTCTGAAGGAACACCTTACTGCCGTCACACCTCTGTACAGTCAGCAGTACGACTTCGCATTCAGACCTTGGGTATGCTGCTTTTAGTCTTACCGCTCTTCAGCCGACCTGTCTGGCATGGCAAGACTTTGAGGAACGATTGTTCCAGCCAGTACAGATCGATTGGTTCATCACGATAGGCAAGCCCGACCACCACATCAATGTAGCAGTAACGGTCGGGTTATAGGTGTACAGTGAATAATAGTCATAAATATAAATATTTGAACACATAAATATTAGTACATGGGGACACCAGATACATATGAGCCACACCGTGAATAATAATTGTTAGATGCTCGACACTTACTCAGAATTATGTAGTACGGAACTTATGGTTCAGATAAGTCAAAGAAAACCTGACGACTTCTTGTAATGTGTAGTCATTTGCTACAATAATGAAACTTAACTACCAAACAAATGTTTCATTATTCGCCTTTGGCTCCAGTTTTTTTGAGGTGACAATTTCACAAAACTATTTAGATCAAATAAGAAAAGAGGTTTAAACTCAAGACATACAGATTGAATCCCAAGTGATTAGGGTCAATGATAAGTTCTGACGATTATATATTTACTGGTCTATAAAATATATATTACTAGTAACAGTACTAATGAAAATTAAGGTAAAAGTACTGAGAATGAGTAGCAACAGTTGTTATTAAAATAAACTTGTACATTTTACACCAATTTAGATATTTACAAACACAATCCACCGTGAACATCTCGCGATGTTGTCGCATATTGTTAGAATTTACTGGATATTTATCAATTTGTAACCCACAAAATATTTAAAAGCAATTATTTATTATTTATTTTAACACATAGATATTGGTACAAGAAGGCACCAAATACATATGTGTCACACAAATCTCAATTGATTTGTGTGAGGGCTGTGATACTGCCCGGGTGTCCAAACCGAAGCAGGTGGTTTTCTTACAGGGCCACACCCCGAGCCTTCGACCTGAATGTCTGGCCCACAAGGCAGTGGAGCATCGTGAAGAGATGCAGTCCCATAGTAGCCGGTGACCAACGATTGGTTCATACGCCATTTGTTCCTTCAGGATACTGGAGCCAGCCCATGTGCACTATTGATTTGGGATCCGGTTATAGCGCCGGACATTCGCTTTTCGTCCTCTCATTTTCGTAAACAATATCCCCGCCACGTGAAGACAGTGAGTAGGACTTCTCTGCCAGAAGCAACATACGCGTGGCCGTGTGAGAGTATTTCGAAAAGGAGGGCGAACCCACCCCACTCTCGGCCATTTGGGGGCATCTCTATCACTAAATCAAAAGCAATTGAAGTGACAAGATAAGATGGATTCGTTATATTTCGCGATTTCTCATCAGCTCTTTACAACTTAAACATAATAGTGTTCACAACATTGAGAATAAGCTTACATACCTCATCATCATCATATATATAACTTCTTATCAAAGATTAGTGTAAAATGCAATAAGTATGAAAGAATTACAAGAGATATTTATTCGCTAGATAACATGAATATTCATAGGTGGATTATAAGAATAACCCAGAATAAAAACTAAGAGCATAGTAACAGAATTATTTAAAAATGAGATATTAATGCAATAGTTATGTAGCCCTTGAGACAAAGTTGACTGATCACAGATCAGATAAGGATTAATGATCAGTGACATGAGAAATGAATAACAAACATTTATGATTAAAGGTACCACGACAAAACAAAATTGATAACTGGATGAATATGTTTGGTTTAAATCTTTTCATGAAAATCACTACAACAAGCCATGGTAGATTCGCCGTTCTTTGTTTACTAAGTATCTTAGACAACTTAGAAACATAAACATCATAGTCCTTGACAAACAGACGGTGTTCAGTCACATTGCTAAAAAAGTGTTCTCTTAGTCTAAACTTTTGTGAAATATGCTTAGAGATACGAATACTAACCCTCCTTTTCTGTTCTTCTAATGTATGTGCTTTGGGACGTAGATGTAAACTGGTAGATACAATTGGAAGTAGTATAGGGAGGAGAATCGTTCACAAGCAACCGTCTTAATTCGTTTGATCCACGGAGATTGGTAATTGGATATATCCTTTTATTTCGTCTTTTAATTCAAAACTGATCTTCCTAGTTATTTCTTCATCCTTGAAGCCAGGTTTCTCATCCGTAGCATACTGCATTTCCTTCGCTTTAGTCTTCTTACACTTAGTTATGAATTGTTGAGAGTAATCCTTACCACGTAAACAAAGTTGAACTATGGTTAATTAACTAGTAATACAAATGGTCGATTGGTAAGATCTACTTATTATAAGAACACATGGGGTGGACTATACTTAGACTTCAATAATCTACAAAATAGCTTTCGTTAGAATACTTTCCAATCGTGTCAGGAGAATATATCCTAATTTATAAATGGGATAACTTGTATGAAATCGTAAGAATAAATTTGTTAGTCAAAATCAACATACGGGCTGGCACGTGCATTAGCTCAATTTACTCACTGCGTTAAAACGACGAGATGAAATGAACAAAATGAGTAGTAAAGAGGTCAAAACAATGTGATAGCAATGAGAAAGATCGGAAACAAAGGATATGGTTCAATGAAATCGAACAGAAACTTATGTGTAAGGGGATACTGGAAGTCAAAATATAAATGAACATTGAGTGCACCTGAGCCACTGTGACCAATTATGAGTCGTGTTGCACGTCTCTAACGATTGACTGAGGTTATCACGTATACCATATAAGCAAATAGTTTGATATCACCATGACTTGGGTCAACAAGTAATAATTTCATGAAATGACACGATGTCTTGGTTTCGCTATGATTGAAGAGATTATGAGATCACCTAAAGTCGGTGAACGGAACGAAGGATCAGTGATAAGATAAGCTAAACTATTCCGATGCACCTCAACCCTGCTAACTAGAAGAACACTCGGTTCAGATGAAAGGAAGGCATATTCCACAAGCACCCAGAATCTCGAACAAGAACAAACACACAACTCAAGCGTATATATACACCATAAAAATATCCTTAGGAAACGTCACAAAATAGCATATTAAAAAAAGGGACGAACTAACAACATTTAGGGTCTTTTCAAGTGGGAAATACAATCTAAAGGTAAAAATGAACGCTTTTATAGCGAAACGAGAAATCCAAATTCCAAAAGAAAATTACAAAAATAAGACGTTAACTAAGTAATTTCTGGTGACCTAGCATCCCCAGCAAATTCGACAACTTTCTTCCTGAGTCATTCACACACTTCAGCTACCGTTGCATATCGAGGTAGATAGGGATTCAACAAACATGACACATCCCAACCATCCCAGGTGATGGATATTCACAATCTCAACAACCGATTAATCATCTTTGCTTAGCACCATGTGCCTGATGTCAATATGAACTACTGATATTACTTCAATTTGATTGGCTATTCTTAATAGTCATGATTAACAACAAAATAAATAATAGTCAAAAGTAAATATAATGAATAGATAAATTTATTAACAAACTGTCTTATAATTTAGAATCAATAATCGACATTATACATGAATGTGTTTCATCCACAGTTTGACCAGTTGCTGGTATCCAATGCCAGAGACGCGGTTCACGTTCATTCGTGTCATCATTCTCACTTAATTCAGACTCCATTTCACGTGATAAACGACCGTAATAAATAAGAATTCGTTTTTGAAAATCCATTGTTTCAAATTTTCTGTCAGTAAATGCATCACGAACTGAAATTTCAGCAAAATTTTCTGGAGCAAGGCAAAATATGAAATCTGGCTGAATTAACCCATACTCCATAGAACGGCACCATTTCCAATCAAATTCAGAGAGTGGATGAAATTTAGCAGCTGTATTAGCAATACCAGAATAACTGTAACGATCTACAACAACACTAATACCAGCCTTTAATGCATTCGAAATTTCATCTTGACGTTCCCATCTACAGTGAAAGCAAAATTTTTTTTAAAAATAAGGTAGTTCGGTCTAAGACTTATTGCCAATGAACCTAACCATAAAATGTCTTATATGAACGACTATTTTATAGACTTCCCTACACACAAACCATCAGTCACAAAAGTTATTTAGCGAAAATATGCCCCAGGGTACTTGAACAAACAAAAACATAAATCGGCATAGCGGTTTTTGATATTATTATTATCGGTTCATGAACTCAATCAAAATTAAAAACATAAATCCTAAGCTATTATATAAACAGGATAGAGTTATAACGATTAGCACTGTGTACCTTGCCTATACTCTCGAGCACAAGCTTAAACTACGTCGGTTACTCCACTAGATACGCCAGTCATGTATAGTTCAGTCAGTTAGTCAGTAACAATATGGAACTTCGTAAGTACGGACATCAGTTCGAGTTGACATACCAAATTAGCCCAGAGATGCAGTTGTTGGTTCAAATCCCGTAGTGGTCGAGGTAGTAAGAGTATAAGCAGTAATCGAAAAGATTAAGGTTTGAAGATGTTATTTAAGGAGTATAATACAGTGAAATATATTTGGAAAGAGGAAAAAAAAGGACATGAAGAATTCAGAAGCTTAGAATTTAGGAGAACACAAAGAGTGGATGCACATGTGCCATTGCATGTCATTCAGGGTCTCTAACCATCAGTTGCTATCATCTCGCGGTCCCCAACCAGGTAGTCTTACACCTAGCAATATGGCTCAGCCGACAAGTCAGTGACTTCATGGATTTCTGTCATGATTTGGTCTGGTCGCCCCTAGTTTTCCTCAAACCTAATCCTACCCCATAAAACATCGCACATCGGGGCAGTCGGTGATTGGACATACGTACGACGTGTCCCAGCCATTTCACGTATAGTTATTGTTCATTAATTTGGACAAAAAATAGTTGTACAAAGGAGGCACGAAATACATATACACCATACAATAAAAATGAGACTGTAAACAGACCGAGAATGTAAAATGCACATGAGATCAAGGAAAACAACAAAGAACAGAATTTGTTGAATGAGAATGAAGTAAGAATAACAATAATAATGGGAGAAACAGTTCAGAAGTTTTAAAATTCCCATAGAATATTCATAAATGAAAAATATTTGAGCGAACAATTGTTTTCAATAACTTCATCATCATCATAATTATCAGGCTCTACAGTCCAAAATTATGGTGATCTTTTACAAAGGTCAAAATAAAGCATGGCATTAATGAATTTGACAATGTTATATGTTAAAAAATAGTGAACGTGTGAATTTTGTTACAACAGAGATACAATTCAAATTTGTGTTCGTTGCTAATTAGAACAGCCATTTAATAAAGGTCAGAATGATTTGGAGTAAAGTGTCAAGAGTTACACTCAGTTCAATAGTAATATAGCGAAAATGAAAATGTAAAAAATCGCGTGAATAAAATACATTGTAGGAGAATTCCATCTTGTCAATTGAGATAATATCGTTGTGTGAATATAATATGTAATAAGAGGGGTGTTATCAAGGGTAATTACGATAAAAAAACGGGGAGAGGGTAAGAGGTTTACAATATTCAGTCTAGGAATCCGCTGATCCAGTCGTAGGCCAAGATAAACATAGAGGCTGGATATATAAGTTCGGTTTTCTAAAGTTGATCTAAATGGCTTCGGCTATGTAGAGTAGCCGTAATCTAGCTTCTTGAGGTAGGTTTTTTGGAATTTGATACAAAACAGAAAGCTTCCTCTATTTTGATATGATGTTCACTATCTACCATGTAAGATAGAATAGTACTGTTGATTGATTTAGTAACCACACTGGTTGATTGCTGTAGCCAATTTTAAAATAACAAGCATCACACAAATAATATATTGACTGATAAACATCACGAGGCCATCCGGAAATTAAAATCAAACGAACACATTTTTATCACTAAACCTGATAAAGGATCGGGCACCGTAATACTAAACAAGATAGATTACATAGATAAGATGAATACTCTACTGAGTGATCAAACAATATTCCAAAAGCTTGGGGTCATGTAAAGACCTCACTAGAAAGACCGAACGTCAATTAACTGAAGCATTAAAATTTTTAGAACATCAATACATATCTGAATATGCCTCTAATGCGCTCAAGCCTTCTGTAACACATACCCCCTCGACTCGATGGCCTACCTAAGATTCATAAACCTAAGGTTCCTTTACGCCCAATTCTGGACATGTCAAAGTCACCATACTATTCAACAGCAAAATGATTGGTGAAATTAGTAGAACTATTACATCAAGAATGGGTTAAGCAAAATGTTAAAGACGTATTTGAATTTGTGAATACAATAAAAAAAATATGAATATAAATGGCAAAACCATGTTATCACTAGATAGAGCATCTTTGTTCACTAAAGTAATCCTGACTAAAACTATCGATCACATACGTGAACAACTGCTAGGACTAACAATAGAGATACCGATCCCAGTAAGTAAAATGATGTAACTTCTGTTGTCATGTACTATGAATATCTACTTTAATTTGGACAATGAATTTTACAGACAAGTAGACGCAGTAGCAAACAGATCACCTCTAAACTCTCTTATTACATATTATATTCACATAACAATATTATCTCAATTGACAAGATGGAATTCTCCTACAATGTATTTTATTCACGCGATTTTTTACATTTTCATTTTCGCTATATTACTATTGAACTGAGTGTAACTCTTGACACTTTACTCCAAATCATTCTGACCTTTATTAAATGGCTGTTCTAATTAGCAACGAACACAAATTTGAATTGTATCTCTGTTGTAACAAAATTCACACGTTCACTATTTTTTAACATATAACATTGTCAAATTCATTAATGCCATGCTTTATTTTGACCTTTGTAAAAGATCACCATAATTTTGGACTGTAGAGCCTGATAATTATGATGATGATGAAGTTATTGAAAACAATTGTTCGCTCAAATATTTTTCATCTTTGAATATTCTATGAACGTTAAGCATTAACACCGTTGGATTCAGTGATCTAGTCTAAGCATTCGCGCGCAAGACCGAATGTCCTGGGTTCGAGTTCTGCGTGCGGGATTGTAGATGAGCATCGCTGAGGTGTCTCAGACTAGGACGAAACGGCCACCCAGTGCTTCTAGATTTCCCATGGTGGTCCAGCATAATACTATTATGTTTAAGTTGTATGCAGCTGAGGAGAAACCAAGAAATTAAATAAATTCAGGTTATTCTGCTACGTTCGTTGTATTGTCTATTAGACTGTCATCAAAATCGATAAAAAATTGATGATTCCCTGGTAAGTAAATGGAATGTACTAATAAGCAAGTTAATGTATAAACCGTGAAACATACTTATAACAATTGAGTTCGACATTAACGATGTAATGAGCCATTCGATACTCCAGGTTTAAAAGTTTATCAATGAAAATTTGTTTTATTGATACTAAATGAAAGCTATAAAACTGGTAATTTGACCTAAGTAACTCAATAACATGTAAAATGTCTTAAGTAATAACGGTTAATGAAGAATCACCTACCTGTTAGCTATATAAAGAAGATGAGCAGCATGTGGTTCCAGTTGGAGTTTTTCATCAGAGTATTCACCTAGTAGTTTCCCTATTGGTGTACTTTTGTCAGGAAAATGAATCAGCAAGGCTTGTTTGCCGGTAATTTGAGTTAAAGCTTCTTGTAATAGTTCTGATTGTGTCTTTTTGCCACATTTTTCAACACCTTCGAAAACCACAAATAAACCACGTTTGGTAGTGTCAGGCATTTAAAATCCGTAGTGTTATGTATATGTAATCACCGACACTAATATACCTAAGAAAGCAGAGTAGAAATGTATAGTCATATTGTGTAAAGTGAGAATGAACGGGATGAAAACACGGTTAATGAAAGAAGAGCTTATATCAGGACCTCATTATTTATAAAAATTGACATTATGAATCATAAACATTACCTCTAACAGCTGTTAGGATGGTCTAAATATCAATCTACTGGATATCAAATAAGTTATACGGGATTCTTATATGTTAACTTGAACTGGTACACATGTCACAGGTCAGTCAGTCAGTCAGCTGCAACGTAGGACCAGGCACGTATATGCATCGGTCCAAGTTGCCATACGCATTAGCACAACAAGATGAACACCGGATTCATAGGAGTAGTTAATTCAGTGGTGGTAATATATAGAAGTAAGAGTGTGTATAAGGAGATAGTACAGGAAGATAGAATTAGTTCCTAGAAAGAAAGATTTGAAGTGATTTTAATCTCTTAGTTTAAAGGAAGACAGAGACTGTATACACCTACTCCATTGTGATCGATTCTGAGCCACGTCACCAAGAATCTCCAACCATTGGTTACGACAGTCACGCGGACCCCAACCAGACAGTCTGAATCTACCAACATGGCTCAGACCAGAAGTTAGTGACTTCAAGCACTGATGCCACGTTTTGGTTTGGCCGACCCTAACTTTCTTCCAGTCATCCCTAACACCAGTGAGCATTGCGCGTCGTGGTAATCTGTGTTCAGGCATACGAAGCACGTGGCCCAACCATCTCAGTCGATGAAGATTCATAACCTCATCAACTGATTTACCATCATTCCCTAATACCCTACGTCTAACCTCACTATTACTTACCTGGTGATCCCAGCAGATACCCGCGATATTTCTAAGGCATCTGTGGTCAAATACTAGTAACTTACGAATATCTTCTACTCTTAAAGGCCAAGTTTCGCAGCCGTATAGTAGAACGGAACGAACTGCCGCGCAGTATACTCGTCCCATAATTGATAGACGGATATCTCGCCTTCGCCATAGATGATGTAAGTTGGCAAAGGCCAAACGAGCTTTTCGAATCCGTGCTGAGATTTCGTCAGACACCAACCCATTAGGGCTGATCAGACTTCCAAGATAAGTGAAGTTGTCGTTGCGTTCGACTACTTCACCCCCTATCCTTAGTTCAGGTGTTGACGCAGATCAGTCCTGAAGCAACAACTTGCATTTGGAGGGAGAGAAGCGCATCCCAAACATTCTAGCATTGTTGCTCAGTGCTACCAAAAGACTCTGCATTTCATCAGCGTCTTCACCAAACAGGACTATGTCATCTGCGTATTCTAAGTCAATAAGTGAACCTCCTGGTATTTTATTATTTATTTTAACACATAAATATCGGTACAAGAAGGCACCAAATACATATGCGCCACACAGATCTCATTTGATATGTGTGAGGGCTGTGATACTGCCCGGGTGCCCAAACCGAAGCAGGTGGTTTTCTTACAGGGCCACACCCCGAGCCTTCGACCTGAAGATCTGATCCACAAGGCAGTGGAGCATCGTGAGGAGATGCAGTCCCATGGTAGCCAGTGACCAACGATTGGTTCATACGCCATTTGTTCCTTCAGGATACTGGAGCCAGCCCATGTGCACCATTGGTTTGGGATCCGGTTATAGCGCCGGACATTCGCTTTTCGTCCTCTCATTTTTGTAAACAACACCCCCGCCACGAGAAGGCAGTGAGTAGGACATTCCTGGCAGGGGCTGTATACGCGTGGCCATATGAGATCATTTCGAGAGGGGGGCGGACTCCCCCCACCCTCGGTCGTACTAGGGCATTTGGGGGCGGACCTCCTGGTAGGAGATCAATACCTGAGAATTCAGTCGATGAGGGCGTTATTTCCATCAGTAGATCTATGATGAAGTTAAACAAAAATGGAGAAAGTGGACAGCCTTGGCGGACGCCACTTGAGGTTGCAAAAGCAGATGACAGTTCGCCATAAGCTCTCACTCGACTAGTAGTGTTCGAGTAAAGAGCCTTCACAAGGTTTATGTACTTCTGAGGTATGCCTTTCAATGACAGACACTGCCACAGAACCTCTCGGTCAACAGAGTCAAACGCTGCTTTTAAGTCAAGGAAGACCGCCATTGTCGGACGCCGATAAGTATGCCTGTGTTCTAGAACCTGACGAATGGTGAATATGTGGTCGATGCATCCACGACCAGGTCTGAAGTCAGCCTGATTTTCACGTGTTTTCAGTTCACGATTCTTAGTTAGGCGTCCGAAAATTATCGAAGCTAGTATTTTAGCTATTATATTAGTTAAACTAATCCCTCTGTGGTTGTCACAGGATGATTTTGACCCTTTCTTAAATATTGGGACGATAAGTGATTGTGACCAGTTAGATGGGAAAACGTCTAACTCCCAGATTTTAGCTAAAATATTAGTCAACCTAATCGCTAAAACTAGACCACCATCCTTAAAGACCTCTGGGGCCAATCCGTCTGGACCAGCTGCCCTTCCTCGTTTCAGATTAGCTATAGCCTTTTGAACTTCAGCTAGAGATGGGGGACATACCTCAATGTTCCATTCACACTGTCTGGGAATGGTGGGTAGTTGTAGAGTAGCTGAAGGCCAACTGAACTGCTCCTTAAAATGTTCCGCCCATCGTTCTAAACGTCTTGAGGTCGGTCACACACGACTTTTTATGAGTAATTTTTGTGTTAGCTCCGTACTTAATGACACCTTACCGCCGGAGACGGATATCCATGGGATAAGGCGAGGTGTGCATTTTTAGGGTCGACCTTTTCTAACCCCTCCCCTCCTTGTGGGAAGGCAGCATCGCTGTTATGCTGGTTGTCTGAAGGAAACACCTTACTGCTGTCACACCCCTGTACAGTCAGCAGTACGACTTCGCCTTCGGACCTTGGTTTTGTTGCTTTTAGTCTTACCGCTCTTCAACCGACCTGTCTGGCATGGTAGGACCTTGAGGAACGGTTGTTCCAGCCAGTATAGCTCAGTTGCTTCATCACGATAGGCAAGCCCGACCACCACGTCAAGGTAGCAACAACGGTCAGGTATGTCACAGGTTCTAAGTTGTGTATGACTAGCTATCCACACTATACATGAAGGTCCCTCTGTTTCGGTCAGTTTGAGGATTTAATAAGTATTCTAGTCGATAGTGGTGGATTTACCTGGTAGATATTCACATAAGATCTCATTTTCGAGTCGAAAACCACAGCAAAAATGTTAGCCATGGACGCATACTTACCTGGGACTTACGAACTTGCTGGACAATAACCACAAGAATCAGTTTGACTAATGTAGTGTCGAAAATATTAGCCCTTAATTATTCGACACCATAATGAACCCTCGTCTTATCCAATGGTTGTGAAACATTTGAAGCAGGCGTTTCTAATCTAGGTCCCATATTTTAAGTATATAAGTGAACCATGGAGAAGTAAGCAAATCTTTAGGAAAAACGAGACCAGAGTGCTATGTTTGAAGAGATTACGAGTCCACCTAATCTGAGAACGGAACGAAAACTCTGTGACACAATGACAGATAAGCTAGCTATTCCAACCCATCCCAGCCCCACTAACTAGAGAGAAGTCCACGTTCGGAAGTGGGAAATGTATCCCAAAAACAGCCAGAAGTACGAACAACCACGACAAGTCTAGTCGGAAATACACCCGTTTTTGATTAATAGTTAGAATAATATCACATATATGAAAAATACTTACAATTATAACAAACCATATGCTGAGTATAGTTCATGTTAACTTAATACAAAAATATCATATGTTATACAATAAAAAACGTCATACGGGAAAACAGAAAAAAATGCCATACTGAGTAATCATCACATTGAATCAAAACGTGAGTAATGCTGAATAAAAATCATAATGAGTAAATCAATTTAATTTTGACTTTTCATCCCGTCACATCACAGAGATCTGAGTTCCTTATGGTCTGAGGTTTTCTTTCGATCTTCCCACCAGTGGGGGAATCTCCAGCATTTATATAAACTTTTTCTATCCCACAAAATCTTATCTTTTCGCAAACTTTAAGCCCTTAGAGATTTATTTATTTATATTTATTTGAACACATAAATATTGGTACAGAGGGGCACCAAATATATATGCGCCACACAAAACAATGATAATTTGAAGAGAAGGAGAAAAGAGAAAAAAAAAGTAATGAACGTGGGGAGTTATAAAAAAAAAAGGGAGAGAGAGAGAACAATGGTGGGGGAAACGGAAAGGTACAATCAGAAGAGATCTTTCAGTTAAGGAAGATATAAACACTTTTTATGAAGAAAGTAAGAGGTTACAGCACGATCGCCACTGGCTTCTATTCTTAGCCATATCTGATAACGTCTCTAGCCACTGCGTTACACCGTCTCTCGGACCCCAACCAGGGAGTCGTGAAGGACCAACAGAAGCTAGCCCTTTGCAGCTTTCTTTCATACCACGACACCATGTCATATACTGACCACCTCTCCGCTTTTTCCAACCAGTCCCAGAGTCGGCAAATAATGCACGACGTGGAATTCTCTGGGACGACATTCGTAGAACATGTCCAAGCCATCGAAGTCGGTGTTTCAAGATGGTGACACCAATTTCATTATCGTCTCTGTGACCGAACACTCTATGCCGAACCTCTGCATTACTGACATGGTGTTGCCACTGGATGCCAGCAATCCTTCGGAGACAACGATGATCGAACACAGAGAGTCGTCTAACATCCTCAACTCGGAGAGGCCAGGTTTCACAAGCATAGAGCAGAACTGCTCTCACCGTCGCGTTGTAGATCCGACCTTTTACAGCCAGACTAACATCACGAAGGCGCCAAATGTGGCCCAGATTGGCATAAGCCGATCTGGTTTTCACTATACGTGCATTGATCTGATCACTCACGCCACCACCAGCACTTATGCAGCTACCTAGGTACACGGACGTCTCGACTACTTCTATCTGCTCACCATCTAGAGTGA